CATAGGGATGATACATCACATTCCGATGTCATGGATCGATAGACCTGCAGTTGTAGGGATCGATGATCCATCCCACTTGTCACCCTTCAAGAAACCAGATAAGTTTGAATGGCAGAGTTATCTCTTGCGATGAATACTCCCCTTGCATGCAACGGCTCCTAGAGGAAATCGATCGACCGCTTCCTCTCTCATTGCGTTTTTTCTCCCCTCCAAAAGGAGAGCGCTTAGACTGCAAATAAAGGGCAAATGAGCCCAACAAAGGGGGAAGACACTGATTTGCCGATTTGCTACTGTGCTTGTGTCCCTTGGGGTGCAGAGACTAGCACAAGTACTTTTTCTTTGTCCTGCTGCGGCTGCTGATTAGCCACAGCTGACTCTCCATTGATCAATATGCCTGAATCATTGCCAGTCAAGGAGGAAAATAGGCTCGATCGGACGTGAGGAGATCCACACCTGTCATTCTCCTTGGTCGAGTAAAACTGCGAACTGCAAGTATCATAACAGCAGTCACTCCCGAAGCAAATAGTCTGACCAAAGAAAAGAGTACATCCCGATTACCGACGACGACCTGTCATTGAGGCGTCAAATGGAGATTGAATTCAATTGCTCATTGTCCTGGACCCAGCACGGACGGGGCCGTTCGCAAGGGCAGATCCCCTGTCAGTGCATCTTCCTTCTTTGTGTTCTTTTTCCCTTTCTTGCTTGATTGCTTCACATCCTTTCTCTGTACCCTTTCCCATTCGGTCCATCACCGCATTATAGGGCTCCACTAGCAGACTATGTAGCTACCCTTGCTAGTTGTTGCCGCCATTTTCAAGGCCTTCCCCCTCTCTTGGGCCTGAACATCCTGGCTTGTTGCCAATGTGGGTTACTTAGAATCAACTCTATCTCTCGAGCTATCAAGAACGAGCTATTGGGCAATGAACTGGCCCTGCATGGCGTCAGGCAGTCACACCCTGGGAAGGATCCCCGGCGAGGTAAGGGTATGACAGCTCGAAAACAGGACCTCTTAAACGCGAGGTATCCTCTCGCAGATATCGCTCACCCTTGGATCGATCTTGCTTCTGTCCATCAATTATCGCACCAGCTACTTTGCTGCAGACAGTCTGGTACTGAATCTTTGCATACGTCATTTTGTCAATGCTACCTACCATATCAGACCCAAGTGCGGCTCGCATCTTCGCTTTCATGCCTTCGTCGGCCAGTAAACCACACCAAGCAAGCATTGAAACTTGGGAGAAAAATTGCGAACGCGTCTAGGGCTAAGTCTCAACACCGCTTGGATGATTATATCCTTGTACGACAGGTTCGCGAAGCTTTTCACCGCTATTCATGTTGACCTCTTTCTGGTTACCGCAGTCGATTTTTGAACTGAACTGGACCATTGAGATCCGGCAAGCTTCCCTATGCATCAGTGGACCGAAACGCATGAGGGCACAGTCGCGCCTAGTCCAGTCGTCCCAACGTGTCGGCACAACTCGTCCTTATCAAGGGACAAATCCCACAACATGTCAACTCTTCCATCCCAAACACAATACTTGACTGCTACTGAAAACGATCGACCGCGACAAGGTCCAGAGGTTCAGATGACGAACGAGGATATCACTGAGCTTGATCGCTTCCTTCAGTCACCTTCAACAACTCCCGCTCCGCAAGTTACTGGAGCGCGCGAACTCCTAAAGGCCGGCCAGAGGCGTCTTCGGCAGCTGGCGCAGCTCCAGTGGAAACCAATGGACCCCAAGACCAAAGCTGAGGAGACGTCCCGTCATCTCCTTGTCCTCCAGCAAGAGGGGTTTCTCAGTTTGTCAGCTTCAGCTGCAAAGAAAAGCCTTGACTCGGCGATGTCGGGCTCGAGATCCGCCTCAAACTTTAGCTTCCGATCGAGCTCTCAGCGAGACGTTGAAAAGATTGGCCAGCCGTGGCTTGAAAATCCGCTCGAAGTGTCCGATACGCAACATCTCAGAGGCCCCGAGCCTTCGCCACTAGATCTCGGCAATTTGACGTCCATAGTTGAGGCGGCAGTGTCTTTCCCACTGCAGTTTGATGACGCTCACCCACCGCCATACCAGCCGCCGGCGAACACCACCAGCGACGGGCAGATCGAAGGCCAGGATTCTCGTCACCTCCACGGTGCAGCATCTCAACTTAAGCCCAAGGAACGGCGTATGGAAGATCAAGGCGGTCCATCGCCAGTGAACACTGGACAGGTTCCCACGAACGACAAAGGTCATATTTCTCCCACCCTGATTTCTGGAAACGGTGTAGCGTGCGATGAACAAAAGGATGGCAAATCTCAGGTAAGTGCATTGAGCGGATTTATATGCATATAGAAGCTCTGGTGGCAGATGCTAACAAATGCCTTGGTAGGCTCTGGATTCTGTTGGAAATCAGAACAACTCTGCACAATTACCGAAACCCCCAACGTCAGGAGCAAAAGCTGTTCCTAGGGATCCGCCAAATCCGGTCAGTCAGTCGTTGAAGCTTTTCCCAGACACAATGCCTCCTCGTGTTTCAAGCAAGGGAGCTTGGCGCATCCCCAACAATCGAATAACAGGCAAAGATGCGCCAATTACTGCCAATTCCTCCGACAGACAGCCGGTTCCCGCACCTGTCATCTTGAAAAGAAAGACGGATAATCTCAAGAATTCGGCCAAAGCCCCTTCGGAATGTCAGGGCGAGCCTGAAAAATCAAACCACGCAGGCAAGGTGTCGACAACGCGACGGGGAAAACCCTGTAGCGAACCGGCGATGAGTCCAATACATTTAGAATCTCCACAGTTGAACAATACACGTCGCCCTGCATCATTACCAACAGGCACCATAGACTCATTCCCTCTGCCAGCTCCCTTGAGGCCGCTGCCGTCGTTGCCCGAGCGGCCTCCTGCTCTCAACACCGTTCGCCACCATAGCACAGCAGCAACTCGGATGAATCGCAACCACTCGGACGCCCTTCCAACCACCACTTCTAAGAACCGCTTAGACGCCGAAAACAATCACTCGAATACACAATCTGCACTCCCTCAGTTGAGATCGGTTGGGGAAGACACGACCGCTAGCCAGCAGGGTGATACTGTCAAGGAGACACCGCACAATCAGCCAGAGTCTTCTGGAAAAACGGGACACAATCGGACGGGGATGGTGCGTTCACTCAAGTTCAGAGACATAACGGCAAGTCGTATCAGCCTCGATGCGCCAGAAACTCCTCGTGAGACGAGAAAGGGCGATGGAATTAATCCATCAGCATCTCGAAAGAGCTCCGGGGCAGGTCATGAATTGCGAACTGGCGACGAAATCGGACCTCGAGAAAACACATCAATCCGAAAGGAAGCAACTGCGTCCGCTCCTTTGTCGCCTCCTCTTTCCCCACCCCCCGCTCCTCCACTTGTGCAGTCTGCGGAACAACTGCCGTTCAGCAGGCGGTATGGCAGCTCGCCCACAGATATCATAGCAGCATCAACAGAGAGGAGAGGGCTATCGCTTCCCGCTTCAAATAGGAGCCCTGCGTTGCACCGAAGTAACATGACGCGGAGCATCGATGTCCTTCACGACTTGGTGGGTAGAGAACAGAACACTTCGAACCGAGCCGGGTCTCCGCTCCCTTCTTCGGATGATGAGTGCATGGATAAAGGTACATGCAAGTATGAGCTACGCCAAGGATCCAGCAGATGTCGACGAACGAAGGTAGCCTCAAGAAAGTCGAGCGACATTCGTCTGAACAGACAGCGTGGCCCGAAGAAGTCCGGAATCCCAGATCATGCGGAGCCCTTGACGCCGCGAAGGCAAAGAAGCCGCATTTCGGAGAAGACGTCTTCACCATCGCTGGACTCATCGTGTCCGTACCATTCTCACGACCCTCGCGATAGGCGTGACAAAGCTGCACACGCTCTCAATTCTCTTGAAGGACGAATTGAACAGCTGGAGCGCCAAAACCGGATCCTTCAGGCGGCCCTTTTTGCGGCTTTAGATGTCGGTGTCAATCGCCATAGGGAAGCCCTGCCTGGGGGCTCAACGACATCGCTTTCCGCCTCTGCAAATTCTTCAAGTGCCGAAAGGTCTTCTCCCTCCTCGACGGATCGATCTTCCAAACTGCGTGGTCGCGCAGTAGTAAATGGAAGACGATCACGCATGAAAAAATCCCTTCGTCGCCCGGAAAGCTGGATTGACAGCCCTGGCTCCAGCCTGCGAAGCGATTATCAAAGTGATGAAAGTGTCAGTGTCAGAGAGGTTGAGGACATGATCGAAGACCTTGAGTTCACTTGCTTATTGGACAGGCCAGGTTCCGATAGGATGTCGAATGGTCGCATTTAAGCGTTTCTTCTAGTTTTCGTTTTCTCGTCTGCCTAGGGAGGTTTCCTTTCAGTGGCACAGTCGCTTGCATCTCTTTCCTTTGTTACTTGGTGGTTCAGCTGGATGCATTACCTCAACTGACTTGATATGCAGTCCGAAAATTGCGTTCTTTCCAGACTCCCCTAGACTGCTTTTTGAATACTTGCCTTGCCACTTTATTTCTCCTTGCTTGTTGTTGTTGCACCGCAGTGATACCATTTTGTTTTGTCTTGACACGTCCATAAGTTAGTTTGCTTTCAAATCCCGTTAGATTCCCAAATTTGAACATGGCTTGGATATTTTTTTGAGCAGCTCGCAACCGTAATATTAATTAATCTATCGTAATGATAACCGAGCACTAGATGGACCCCTTGGGGCACTGTAGAAATGTAGGATTGTTCTAACTTCTGCCCCTTCCTGCTTAGTCATCCGAGTCCTATTTTGATGCCGATGTTGTTGACTATCTAGGTTGCGAGTCGAGTAGCTTCAAGTCTCAACAACAAACACGAATTGGCAGTCCTTCACCAGTTCGCGACCTCTGGGCTGGCAGATTGTTAGCAAGGTCAGGTGGAAGCAAGAAACCGCACGGATCCAACGCAACCACCACCACCTTTCCTTTTCCCCCTCACCCAAACAAACCCGATTCATTCCTCTCCCCTCATCATTATTCAAAAATGGCATATGCAACATCAGTAGGATACTCCCTGTCCCTGATCAAGGCACACATTCAACGTTCTAATACTGATTAACGAACATCTAGGCCACACAAATCCCACAACATGTCACAGCTCTCCTTTCACATCTTACATCGCGCCCTGGCGTACAATCCACTTTCATCCTTTCCCGCAAAGACGGCTCCATAATCCAAAGCACTGGACTCTTCGCCTCAACGCCACCGAGGAATAGCACGACGAGCGCGACACAAACACCGCCAGCAACGGACGATGCAAACGGCACTACTCCCCCTCCTGCGGAGTCATTGGATCCTTCTTCGCCCGCCGGCGCAAACACATCACCAGCCCCTACCGCCCAGAAACCATACCAGCCGTCTCAGGCGGAGGCTCTAGCGGCGCGGATCTTTGCTTTCGTCTCGAGTGCGTCGGAGCTGGGGATGACGCTGTCATGTCCGCGCGCGGAGGACAGGGATAGCTATCAGACTGGACTGAACGGGTCGTCTGGGGTGGGAGATGGTGGGACGAGAGACGATGCGAGGACGGAGGGTGTGGACAGGGAGGAGGACGACGAGGTTAAGCTGCTCCGGCTGAGGACTAAGAAGCATGAGATTGTGGTCGTGCCGGATAGGAAGTATCTCCTGTGTGTGGTGCATGATGCTGCGCATGCGTCGGGAGGTTTGGGGGCCGCGGGGGTGCGCTCTAGATGATGGTTTGCTAGAAGGGGATTTGGCGTTGATGGTTTCATATTTTGGTCTTGTCTTGCAAGGTCTATTTTAATTTCATTGCCGGTGTTCCTTGCTGTTCGTTGGTTCGCTGCGGCTGGTTCCTGGGCTCTTGTGTTGTGGCATAACTATACCCCCGTTGGAAGCAATGCATATTACTTTGCATATTTGGATATTTTTTGCGAAAAGCTGAGGATCTTGCGCTGAGTGGACTAGGTGCTACGAAGTATCGCGCTATGAATTGATTATGCTCTGGTGCTTTGGTGCCATCGCTTATGCAGCGGGGTGTTACCCCTCTCGCAGAGGTATTGACGATCACCTTATCAATGGTGACCAGATCTGATTCTGCCTTATTCCAAGTTTCGTCTATCATCGGCAGAGATGGCTTCAGAATTTGATATTACACTGGTTAGGACTCGTTTTCCTGCTTTGAACGCAGAGCAGGTGTTGCTTGACAACGCAGGTTTGATTTGACCCGATCTTGTCTTGTGAGCACTGTATCGCGAGCGAGTCGCTGACCAAACTGCCATTGACAGGAGGCAGCCAGGTTTTGGACACTGTGATCGAATCGTGAGCCATCTGAAATTCCGCTTGAACCCGGTCTGATGCCAGGGCAGGATTACATCTTACCTCTCTACCACCAATGTTCAATTGGGAGCGACTTACGGCATATCTCGGGCAGCCACCGTCGCATTTTCTAAGGGCTATGAGGCGGCGGCAGAGTTTATCAATGCGAGTCCTGATGAGGTGAGTTCTTTGACCCTGGTAGCAGTGGTTTGCTCTGACCCCATTACTTCAGATCTGCCTGGGTATATCAACAACTCAGCTCTTGCACAACCTTTCGACCGCACTCAAGTTCCAACCCGGCGATGAGCTGGTGCTCTCGAAGCTAAACCACGAAGCCAATATAGCCGCCTGGGTTCGGATCGCCGGACGGCTGGGTTTGCAAGTGAAGTGGTGGTCGGCATCGGATCCGACAAACCCTGTTTGTGATTTGGATGAGCTGAGCCAATTGCTCTCGGAGAAGACGAGGCTCGTTGCTTGCCCACATGCTTCAAACATCACGGGAACAATCACGAAGGTCAAGGAGATTGCGGAGCTCGTTCACCAGTATCCACGAGTGAGTTTTGATGGTGGTTTTTTCTTGCCAGGTACTGATATGGGTCTTTCATTAGGCTCTCCTCTGCGTGGATGGGGTTGCGCTTGCACCCCATCGTCAGGTAGATGTGAAGGATCTCGATGTCGATATTTATGTAAGTTGGTGAAGGTGGCTCCAGCGGAAGAATGCTCAGTTTTCTCCACCAGGCGTTCTCATGGTACAAGGTCTACGGGCCGCACATTGCTCAGCTATACGTCTCGTCTCGGATTCATGATCAGATCGACAGCCTTGGCCATTTCTTCAAAGGCACAGACACGCTGGACCTGAAGCTCAATCTAGCATCCGCCAGCTACGAAGCGACACAGAGTATTCCTGCGGTGCTTGAATACCTTGGACCCAATCCTGCAGCTACATGGGACAAGATCGCCGCTTATGAAGAGAAACTGCAGGCGATACTGCTGGACTATCTTAGAAGCGAGGATCAGATTACGATCTGTGGGGAGCCATCAGCAAGCAAGGAGCTTCGCGTCCCGGTAATCAGTTTCACAGTGCAAGGCATCAAGAGCCAAAAGGTCATTGAAGAAGTCGAGCGGCGGACGCGATTTTGTTTCCGCAATGGACATATGTACAGTCACCGGCTGTTGAAGGATATCGTAGGTTTGGAGGATGTCGAAGATGGCGTAGTACGGATCAGCATGCTGCATTACAACACTGGTGAGTTTGCACTTGGAAACCTGTGGGAGCTTGCTGACAGGTCATCAGAGGAAGAAATCACCCTCCTGGTCGAGAGCTTGAAAGAAATCATTAGCACTCTGGTATGCTCTAAATCATAATCAAGTAATCATCTCTCATACAGCATACGAACGTTTATGGTTTGCTGGCATGCTTCATAATGGATGGTAGAAATATTACTTCCCGTGTACCCTCTATGTCCTCGTAGGTGGACTGTGATCAAACTCGATAGACCCCGACTCCTTGCTCCAACTACAATTGTATGGGCTGTAGCATTTTGAGTTCGAAAAAGATGTCAAGCTGCATGACAGTTGGCCCAATGAAGCTGTGTGTCCAAAGTACCGACCTTTCGTTCTAGGTTCTCATCCGGAGTAGCAATCAACAAGTACATACACGTGCATGCACCTCTATGCATGATTCCTAATCAGTGCCATGCCTCACTGTACCTCCTTTCCCTCGACCAAATCTAGGCTATCTGATTGAGCGAAATTCGGCCGTGACTTTAGGTTTTCTGTAGGCTACTCGATAGATACAGGTTGTTGGAGTCCTCGCTCAGGACTTTGTTAGTTGTTAGGGCACAAAGATAGCTGGCCTGGTGGACTTGATTGTGAATATATATCCTTTCGTATTGAGGACTCGTGTGAACCTTGTGAATGCTGAGGGATTTATTAAGCTTTCTCCCTTCTGAGGTTGATCTACCTGTTTATGATACATCTACAGATATCTTGAGCTATCTTTTACTCAAAGCTAGTAGTTTGCACTCGGTAAAGTACCCCAGACGTCGACCGTCCTCATTGTTCCCTCCAAGCCAGTGACGTGAATCTCTTGGTCTCTCGCMATCTGAACTCGAGGCCAACTCAGAAACCAAGTCTAACCGCTCATGGAAGGTACGCCCGTCTCCACCGACCAATCGAGGCTTAGTGAATTCGTCGCCAGAAAATACTCCGTGTGGGATTGGAGGCTGCCTCAGGCTTCTAGCCCCCTCTCCATGGCACTGTTTTCGGAGCGGCGCTAAGCCGTACTGGGCATAGGGTGTGGGACTTGGTGGCGAAGACGACGATGACGGTATGAGTCATGACGCAGCGACTGAGGCACAGCGCTTGACCTCCAGACTATTTTGAGATTTGCTAGAGGTGGGCTGAGGATCAAGGAGATGCTACTATTATTATTGAATCTCTAACATGATTATGCTCCGCCTTGCGCAGCATGACATAGCTGGGAAGTCTTGATCTGGATCTGAGACTGGAGGATCGCGCGGAGGAATTAGTCTTGATCAATACAGTATCTATTCTGTTTTAGATCTGCATGATTGGGTGGTGAACCTTTAGAAGGATTTCTGTCATTAATTAATTTTAATGTGTCGTGTCAGTTGTTGTCCTACGACAGCCTCTTGCACTACTCATGTACTCCCCCCGTGACTTATCCACTCTTAATAGTTCACCTTGCAATAGTCGAGTAATCGAGCGTAGAATGAAAAAAACAACAGGCAGAGAGATGAGCTGCCTATTTCGAATCAGACAAATATTGTGGTTGTCAGCTCAGGTGATCCTTAAGCGCGACAAGGTGATAATATTCATTACTCATGATGGTGGAGAGGAGGATTCTTGTKCACCAGTGGTGGTTTTCTGCTGCCTAGAGTTTCTATCCATGATGGTTCCACAAGTACAGTTGTCATGTTATCTCCCTGCTCCATATTACTATGTTGTCTATCAAATCCAACAAGCAGTCAAATATTGCATCTGTACGAGTAGGGAGGCAGAAGCGCTCATGACCATCGTGACTCAAGACGAAAGCCAGACAAAGAAGTAATCATCTCTGGCCTTCTGCCTCCAACATTTTTCCTCCGAGAAGAGGTACTCCATGGAGTCAAGCGCACCAGCTCAAACCATGGATGCAGGATGTGTCACTGCCTTTGGGAGCAGCACCAGATCCTGACCAAAAAAGTGGCGTGGGCTGGGAGCAAATACGGCCCGGTGGTTGGTTGGCTGACCACCAAGAACTCTAGACCCGTTGTGAAGGAGCGGCAGAATCAAACCGGATAGGAAATCTAGGAAATCTTATTACCCTCACTCTGAGTCCGTTACTCGCCCAGCCGTCGGGGGGAGCCCAGTCATGCAGTTTGTGGCACTCCAGGTTTAGTTAGCGGCAGGTTTATCCCACGGTGGCCTATAGTGATGATTCATTTCGCCTTCATGTAGCATGGTTAGAAACGTGGAGGAACCTATTCGAATCCTGTCATTTGCCTAGCCGATATCGCGAAATCATGATATCCTGACGACACTCTTGCCAGCAAACGTACTCCATAAGGTAGACTAGTTGCAGTCGTAAGTTCATAATAATGTTCATTATAATGATCATAAGGATAGTCATTATTAGGTCCACTGTGCGAAGTAGATATACCCCTACTGAGCAGGCATCTAGAAGATCGTCTGTCACTGCCAAGTCTAACTGTGATAATAATATAAGTTTAAGCGATCAAGGATGTTGAGAATCAATATCTTTGTCTATTTATGTGATTTAAGAGAGGTATACAAGCTGAACGCTACCTTAAACTCCGAATGAACTTGATGGTGTTGCGTGTAACTAGTTAGTATCTTAGGTAGAATCCTAGAGTATTCACCTATTGAAGAATACATTAGACTATCAACTTCTTCAAGATATATCAAAATATACCAGAGCATAGTAGAATATTTGACAGGAGGGTTGATGAGTGTCTCCTATTCTCCGTAACGGTGGACGAAATGCTACAGAGCATCCCCTATCTCGGAAGCTGGCTGAGGAGTCATACATGACATCCGCATCCGTCCAGCCCAGTCCCGATCGCGCCCTGATTACCTTAACAACTGTCAAGTCGCCCGCTTCCTGTCTATCTACTCCTACTACTACTGACGACTCCCTCGCAAGACGGAGTGAAGACGTCCCTTCCTCCTTTCTGTTAGAGTTCCGCTGCTCTGCTCCTTTATGATATAATCTTCTGTTACTCATCTTTTTATTGCCTGTATCAGTACTATCTACTTACTCTCCGCTCATTTCGTTTTTCGCCTTCGTTGGCAAAAAAAAGCGTGGTCCCTGCATCCGCTCTTTGACTCCCTCCACCCCCGAAATTCCGCCACCTGAGTGTCTTGCCACAGGTACAGACGGATGTGAGTAACCAAAATCTTCTGATTCCTTTTCGCCATTCAACATTATTTTCCCCATCTTCCCTCCAATATCTCCTTTTCCTTGTTCCACGGCCTCTTTCAAAGCCTTGTACTTGGAAGTCGCCGCATTTCTCTCTTTTTCACACTTTTCCCTAGCACTCGCCGCCCACCCCCAGGTTAGTTAGTCACTGCTCTGCCTACCCTTAGTATTTGCTCCGCCCTCCACAAGAATAGGTAGTCATCAGGCAGCGTTTCCTCGGTTCCAGCCTGCTGGGGTCTACTTCTTGGGAGGAAGGAGTCATACTTCGGATCGCACCATTTTCTAAATTCAAAAATAAAGAGATCCTCTACCTGACTACGATCGGTTGCTGACTGTTCTTTGTCGCCTCAGCCTAGTCGAGCCTCACGACTCATCCCGCCGAACCCTTCGTCCTTTTTAGCCACCCGATAAACAGCTGACTGCCTGGACAAGCATCAGTCCTCCACTGGTACTGCCTGCTTGTTGGTTAGTCCGCCGTTCTATCGGCACCCTCATATAGCCTCTTTCATACCCTTTAGATGGTCAAGATGTACCCTGTTTACTCGATCTCTTCTGTTCCGATCGCCAGCTTCGCAGAATCCTCAGCCCCAGATCTTCAAGCCTCCGACAAGACTGTCATGTTTGTTTAGACAACAGACCTATACAGTATCTATCACTTTTGAAATAAGCTTATGTCGGTATATCGCGACCTACGCGTACTTCTCAAACGTGATCTCGGCTTTTGATCTACTACGGACTCTACGAACGGTGATCGGACTCGTGGACGTTGAACACTCTCCCTCTATCCCGCTTCAGTTACACCTTGACCTCTTCCGACTCCTACTATTTTCGACGCCCATACCTACTTTGAATCCCTAACCTCCTTTCCTCCCTCATCGCCACCTTTTTCTTGACAAGTTGGCGATCTCTCATAACTAAGGCACGCCGTCGCCTGTGAACAAAAAGACGGTATCTGTCTTACTGGTACCTCGTTAACGGTTATTTGCGCAACGGTTTTTTGACAATATCACGGTTCAAATCGCCCATCCTTTATTTCAATATTCGGTTCCAAGGATCGTATAACCAACCGAGACTACTTCTGATTTCGGATAGTGGTGGGTAGGTTGTACGGTTTTGACTATCCCGAATATGACAGGGATGGACGTCTTGGGTTTGAGGGACTCAAACCCGAGCATTCAATACAAAGCGCCCTATGCGCATCCTTATGCTTCGTCGATCTCCTCCTCGGCGTCTTCCTCATCTTCTTCCGTCTTTTCCTTGGATTGTGTATCCAACCAGAGTTCCATCTCCTCGACTTCTACGAACCCGGTGGATGTCATCTGGGAAAATGAAGGCGAATACCAGGTGGCTGGAAGAATCTTGACCTCTGCGACTAGCTCGCGTGGCGGTGTGAGGGGTGTGTTGCCCAAAGCCACCGATGCGGCGGTCGCGCCTGAGCTGCGGAGACATCCTCGGCGCACCAACAGCTGCGTGGCTCAGTCCAGCGGCGTCAGTTGTGCCCGACCTCCGCCGTGCCTCTTGCGACAGTCGGATCGGAAGGTCAACTTTGTTGACAATCTCGTCGGTGAGTAATTGTTTCCTGTTCTTGATTTCCCATCCTTCCTAAAGCTAAATGCTCTCGTCCACGAAGACACCGCCTCGCAGATTGTGGAGATAATCTGGCCCTTGTCAGCGGTTGCATCTCGCAGCGACTCTGCCACAGGCTGCAAAGGGGTTTTGCCCCTTCGCACTTTCATTCAGGAGACTCTCCGTCGGTCGCGCACCAGCTACAGCACTCTGCAGGTTGCCCTGTATTATTTGATCAAGATCAAGGAGCACGTGCCTCGCTACGACTCGGAACAGGAACAACCCCGGAGCAAACCGGTCTGCCGTGCCATGCAATGTGGCCGTCGCATGTTCCTTGCCGCTTTGATCCTTGCGTCAAAGTAC